TAATCGAAGATTTTTGATCGAAGATTTCGTAGTTCTTTTTTTTTTTTTTTATTTATATAATCTGAAAAATCTTTTTCATAGCAGTTTTAATTCAAGGGAAAATTTGTGAATCTCTGTTTGAACGAATAATTTTTCTTTTTTATTTTGGAAATCGACTCGAACGATCTTTAATAGGATTTTTAATTTAAGGGGTGGCGATTTTTAAATTGTGAATTTCGTGAATCGAAGAATCGATTTTTAATTATATAGGATGAAGATTTTTTGGACTTCTTTCTCATGAATGATCTTTTATTAATTTTCTTATTATTATTAATTCAAGAATCAAAAAGCAACAAATTTTTAAATCCACGTTATTTGATCCACGAATCTTTGTTCATCTCTCGTGTATCTTAATTTTTAAACAATGGATCCCTTGATGTTTCATTCAATTTGAAAGAATATTTCTCTCTCTCTGTTTTCTAAATATTTTATCTCGTCCTAATTTACAATAATTTTATCCTCGAACTCGGTAAAATTTGAGAATCACAGTGAATCCGGAAAATCCGTGTCACGGATCACGTTTCGCATCGATCATGGTGGAAATTGTAGAATTTTCGGGAGGGGGAGGATGGCGTAGCTTGTTTCGAGGACGGGCGTTGATCGACGTTGAAATTTCGGGTTGAAGTCTATTGGACGAGGTAGTCGAGTGGACGCTCGAAACGAGATACCGCGATTTCAATTCTGAGCACTCTGTTGTAACTCTGCTCTGCCGAAACAGTATAAAATTCGAAAAAGAATTCATTCCCCTAGGGAAGAAATTTTTTTCGTTCCAACCTAAAAAAAAATGTATATACGATATATCGTTTCTTTTTATCATTATTATTTTTTTTTCAAAAAATATTTCCTCCGTTGCATCCTCGTCGTTTAGATATATCACAGATAATCAGAGATATATGCACAAATGTGTATATCTCTTTTTCTTTTTTTCCCTATACGAGTAATCCAAAGTTAGGCACCAGTTAAAAAGTAACTAGTTAGAAATAAAGTTACCTTTATAACTTTTAAATTTTTTTCGTTTTAATTTAAAAAAGAATATATATACGATATTCTTCGTTATTAAAAATATTTCCTCCGAATATTTTCTAGAACTTATCGTTGCATTCCTCGTCGTTTAGATATATTTCACTTTGATAATAAGAGATATATGCACAAACGTTATGTATATACATCTTTTTCTTTTTTTCTCTATACGGAATAATCTATATTAGTGCCAAGGTTGAGTACCAGTTAAAAAGTAACTAGTTAANATATATATATATATACAATATACCATTTTTTTTCTTCGTTATTACTACCAGAAAATATTCTTCCAACAAAACTCGTTGTTGGATCCCTTATTGTTTAGATATATCTCTTTTTCTTTTTTCCCCTATGCGACTCTACGCTGATGTCAAAGTTGGGCATTGAAAAGTAACTAGTTAAAAATAGTTATCTTTATAACATTATTCGTAACTGTTATAATTAATTCGTTTAACTTTGGTCATTATTGTTTGACAGTTATTCGCGATTATTATTGTGTTACGTTTTGAACTATTAAATTTTCCCCATCATGAAATTCGCGCTCCTTGACGATTCAAAGCGAGAGAGAAAGAGAGAAAGAGAGAGTTATATTTCATCCTAGATAAGTAAGCGTCCATGTTGGTGGAAAGGTCGCGTTGCAATTTATATTCGCTGCTTTATCGTTCGAAACACGAGCTTGACGATTTACGATTTTTATCGAAAAAACAAGTCGTTAATTTTGGATGCAAAAGAATCGGGGAAAATTTCGTTTCGAATTTACAATTGTTTAAAGTATTCCGTTTCGAAAGAAGAAAATTTTTGGATGGGATTAAAAATTTTCCTGCAAAGAACGAATGGAGAGAAATTTTAAATTATTCAAAAACGAAGAATTTCAACCTCGAAGAGATGAAAGAAAACTTTCTCGAAAGTGCGATTGAAGAAATTCTTTTTTCGAAGAAGAAGAAAAAAAGGTGAATCTAACCTCTAAGTGGAAGAGGAAATTAATCGTAAAGCGGTTTAATAATCCCGAAGGAATACGATAAAGCAGTTTAAAAACGAATCGCATAGAAGATGAAATTCAATCGTGCTAACTGTAATTCCCCAACGGAGAGCCAACGGGATTATTACAATTTATAGCAGTTCTTCACACCGGCTCCAAACTTCCTCCAACTATAATTCTCTCTCCTCCTTCCTCGTTCAAACTCAATAATAATAGAAAGATATTCGAACGAGCGTGAACCAGAAACTTTTTCTCGCATCTTTGCTCGGCTGAGAGGGGAGAAAAAACGTAAAAAAAAAAATTTCGAATAATGAAAAAGTGCGTGTGTTCTCACTTGCCTGATATTGGTAACCGTTGGTGCCGTTGTGTTCCGATTTCCGAAAGTTGAGAATCTCGTATCGCGCCAACCCGTCTCCGTGCTCGTCGAACTTCACCTCGCTTCCCGCCGTGTCTGAAACAATTTCGAACATTTGTATTTCGAAAAAAAGGAAGAGAAGCGATTACAAGTCCAGTTTGAACAAATAAAGTCACTTTAAGAAATTACTTGTTTAACATTTGCTCGAACATTAGCTATTTTATATATATATATTTTCGTATAACCTAACCTAACCTCAACCGTTTTGCCATTGCAATTATTTCCAGTTATTATTATTACGGTTTTAAATTATCGAAGTGTGCTTATTTAAGGAGTTTAAGTTTACACATAACTTGAATTTGATTAAATTTTCCCCATCACTGGTTGCAATACACCAGGATCCTAGCTATTATTGTCAAGCTTGTCTACTCCCTGAATATAATTGTTTCATAGGATAGCGGGATTTGTCTCGAGTTGATCGTCTAAAGGGAAGATGATCGATGCTCCTGTATAGAAAGAGGTTGAGGCTGTGAATTCCCTCTTCAGAATTGTTTATCGTTGGTTGCTAAGTTGTTCTACAATTGGAAGGATCTCTCCAGAGAGCATCGTCCAAGGCCAAGATCGATATATATATATATATACACAGGAAAGTATCTCATCTTCCATTTCGTTGCATGGAAAAATCGTTTCGTTAGAGATTTAACATAGTTTTTTTTTTTTTTAATTATCGGCTGCTACGCGTCTGCCCTATATTGGACAACTCGATAACCGATTGAAATTATATTCTCTCGAGTTTTCAACACGATTCGTCCGTCCTCGATTTTTTTTTTTTTTTTTATTACGTTACGCGAGAAAGGAAGGAGAAAAATTTTATCTTGATCAACAGCTCGTTTAACGATCGATTTGAGATCGGAATCGAGATCGAATTTTCGAATCTAATATTCTGCGAATAGAAAAAAATAAATAAATAAATAAAAACAAACGTCGAGATTAAAAATTTTTCCATACTTCGAAAGGTATCGAAAATTTTCCAAGCGAATTAAAGAAATTTACAGCATTGTTGTATGTGCAATTTTTATCACATGCGGAACGAAGGCAATCAGCCGCCTAATGCATTCCTTCATTAGCGGGGCGGATTGTATCAGATTAGATGAGAGCGTGACGGATATTTTTTCGCCTCATTTATTCGTCGTCCCGTTTTTTATACAGTTACGTACATTCGATGCAGAATCTTTTAATTCTTCTTTAATTTCATGATACGACGAAAGAAGATTGTCGGGGATATTTTCGTTAGTCTTTTCGTGTATACGCGAACGAAACTTTGCAGATACGATTTTTACGACGAGTTTTTATGGGTGTTTATTTAATCGTAAAAAAAAAAACACGAAAATGATCTCCGTTTCATTGTTGAGGATAAAATTTTTGTTTGTGCGAATTAGAAAATTAGAGTAAAAAGTTTGCAAGTTTCTCGTTTCATCGACGAGAAAAACGAAAATTGAGAATCTCTCGCGTGTAATTTTGTTCAAGAAATTAGGGAATTATTATCGAATAATAAATTTTTTTTAACGATTTTTTTAACGATTAATTTACATTTTCTCTTTTTCAAGCAAATGATCCATGATGAAAAAATAAGATATTATCACGATATACAATAATTATGCACGTGTAAAATAATATCAAACTTAATAATTATCGCCAATTAGGAAAAAATAAGAGACTTTAATCGCGTGATCCCGTTTGATCTTCTTGAAACGAACGAGCTTCCTCCTTTTCGAGAGGAGGAAGATAAATAAAAAATTTCGTTTCTTATTTCGCGATCTGCGGTTGGATCGGTAAGGAAGAAATCTTTCGATACCTTTATTTCTCGCGCGATTCGAATTTCGTAGAAATCGCAACGACCCACAC